TTTTTTTTTCATGTAACAGTCTACAAAATAGAAACTTGAACGGTCATTTGTTGTCCTGGGGGCATGTTTTGAGTCCTGATATTTTTATTTTTCCTACTAGTAACATGTTACAATCGATATTTTTCCTACTAGTAACACGTTACAATCGACATTCAAGCATTTAGCCTCTTATTCAACATATTGCTACTTTTAGCTTCTCCTAATATACTTATCAGTAACATTTTCCCAAAAACATGATTATCATTGATTCTAGGGGTATAGACTTATCAAAATGGAGAGATCTTCAAAGGGAGAAAGGAGAGAAGGCTGACATGCAGAAGTTTGTTCAACGTGTGCATGGAAATCATTTCATTCCAAATACTGTTGTAGTGGACTGTACAGCAGATACTTATGTTGCGAGCCATTACTATGACTGGTTGCGTCAAGGCATGCATGTAATCACCCCAAACAAAAAGGCCAATTCAGGACCACTCGAGCAAGTAAGAATATATTTACACGATCTGGTTTGCAATATAGTAATATAGTTGCACTTTGGTAAGCTGAGCTTACATGTTAATCATGTTCGTATGTGCATGCCTGTGCACATGTGTATACTTGTTGCCCTCACTTATGGTATGTTTGGTAGGAAGGATTAATGATTGCAAAATATTAACGAAGAAGAATAAGCTAAAATCTACCAGTCATGCCCAGTATTGTATACCAAACATGCACTAAGTGACTTTCTCTCCCAAATTCAGCAGTGCAGCTTCATTTTGGGAAGATTTTTCATTTTTATAACTAGGATCTCTTCAATAAATTTAATAATTTTCCTTTTTTTTCCCTTTTTGTGTAATGAATCCAGTATTTGAAGTTGAGAGCTCTTCAGCGACAATCCTATACCCATTACTTCTCTGAAGCAACTGTTGGAGCCGGTTTGCCAATCATTAGCACTTTACAAGGTCTCCTTGAAACTGGGGATAAAATATTGCGAATTGAAGGCATATTCAGGTTAGTAATGGTGATATATTGTCCATGTTTAGGAGCATTTCAAGGTTGGTCATACATCAAAATGCTTTAGCAAACTGTAAGTTTCTATTCATTCTCTTCACTCCTTGCGTGCGTGTGCAGTGGAACCTTAAGTTATATATTCAACAACTTTGTGGGCACACGAGCTTTCAGTGATGTGGTGAAGGAGGCAAAGGAGGCAGGTTACACTGAACCAGATCCAAGAGATGATTTATCTGGAACAGATGTGGCCAGAAAGGTATTACCTGTTGATTCTGTGTCATACAATGGCATTGTACCTCTTGTCTCCTGCTTTGTGTTGTCAACAAGTGGAAAAAACCATTGAATGATTCAAACATCTCTTTGGTATTCTTTCAAGTGCAGGCCAGATTATACTCTATTTCTCTGAAAATGGGGAGTGTAGTACTCTTTATGCCATTATAGCATGGTTGGTAGGAAGGATTGGATAGGGCTGGATAATACTAAAGAACAAAAATAACTAAAATCCTTCTCATTATATCGTCTTGTCCGACATTCTATATCAAACATGCACTTACAGTATGGTGAAACTGCAGCATGTGCATACTGTTTCAGATTCTATGGACTTAAGTCTATAGGATCCAAATTTTTTCTACTTCATTCTTTGACTCCGTCCTTTAGCGAGGACGATTGCCACATTGTGGTTGCAAGGTTTTACTTTATATGCTTTTTGCCCTGATTTTGCAAAACAAATGCCACCCACATATGATAAATCAAGGCTGGCAGTAGATACGAATATAATAGGATAAATTTAACTGGAGATTAGTAGTTTGGAAAGTATTTATAAATGATTTAAATTATAAATAGATAGAAATGACTGGTGATAAATGGGCAGTAGTAATACTAATGGAACCCTCGAAATGTGTGAATAAAAGTGATTTGAATGTTTATAAACAATTTATAAACATGAGCCAAACATAGGCTAGGTTACTTCGATGTGCTATTTAAACTAAATATAAATACAATGCGATAAATTTTTCCTCATAAAGAAGCTGCATGGTGCAGGTGATAATTCTTGCTCGAGAATCGAGATTGAAGCTAGAACTATCAGACATTCCAGTTCGGAGCCTTGTTCCAGAACCATTAAAGGCAGGAAAATGTTTGTTCATTAAAATTTGTCTGGTTAAGGGAAGCCCCATTTCTCCTCAAATATGATTATCTGATGGTTTGTTTCAGGCTAGCGCCTCGGCTGAGGAGTTCATGCAGCAGCTGCCCAAGTTTGATCAAGACTTGGCAAACCAAAGGCAAGAGGCTGAAGCTGCTGGAGAAGTAAGTATTCCATCCTTTCTGCCGGAACTAAACTTTCAACAAAGATACAATCTGTCTCCTAAAATGACACCTAAT